CTACCACTAATGAACCTCATTGCATCTTTGCCCTTCCCCTGTGGACATTTCTAACAGTTTTTAACTTCCCTGTTTTCAAGAACTTTTGTGCAATTGAAAATCAGCCATTGCTCATTTCTGCTGAATAGGCTGAGGATTTCTACATGGGTCTTATATCACTCTGCTTCTTATACTAACGTGATGAGATACCTTTTCTTTGTCTTCTCTTTTTTTCTTTCCTGCTGTCAATAGTACGTTGGGCTCATTTAGGATGACGCATGGAACAAATCAAACATAAAACCACAAAAAACCTCCAAATAAACAAAAACAAAACAAAAAACTAAAACAAACAAACCCAACAAACCACATCAAACAAAACCAACCAAATAACAGCAGGAAAAAACTCTGAATAAATTTTTAAAAATCTCATGATTTTGTATTATGAGGTGACAGAGTTAACCTGATTTAATTTAACAAATAGAGAAATCCAGATCATTGGACACCTATTAATCTGCCTTTAGTAGTTTTATTATGTTTTTGAGCAAAACAAGGAGTTATCCTGAGGTAAATGCAAGGTAGAGTAGAATGCAGCAGATGTTTATCAACCGTGGATTGTTCAGGATTAGTATCAACTCCTTCTCTGGTAAAGCAGAGTACTTTTTGTCTCAGACAGGAGAAAAGTAATAGATCTATTTTGCCAGATGTCAATAAAGTATTTGATATATTGTAATGATGGAAATTATTAGCTAAACCAGGAAAGATGGGGTTTGAGAGAGGAATTGCAAAGTAAGTTGTGAACTGTCAAATGGAATTGCCTTTCAATTTATACTGATGAGCTAATGGATGGCTGGGAGATGAGAGCTGCTCAGAGATCAGCGCCAGAGAAAATCCTATTTAATGCTTCAACCTTGGCTCAAAGTTAGGAATATCTTGATGAAACATGCTGATGATACAGATTCAGCCCATAAAAATAACCTGAATGATTTGAATGGCACAATGGAATTTACAGCACACAGTAATGCTGTTAAAAACAGTAGCAAGATTTTCTGTATGTAGTGGAAGTCATTGGCTGGAATTGATGAAAAGAAGTAGGATGGGAATTTAGTGAAGGTCTTTATCATGTTGAGTAATCTCAGGATGATTTTAAGCCACTATTCTTTAGTAGTCAGCAAAATGCTACATATTAAGTAAAATAATTTCTGTAAAGAAATCCAAAAGTTCTGATCAATTCTGAAATCACAAAACACTGGTAAGATCTCCTCTAGAACACTCTGCAGAATGCAAGTGTAAACAGGAGCAGAGCTACAAGGAAGAACTGTGGAAAATATATTTTCCAACAGGAGGCTTCCTCTCACAAAACTACATACTAAAAGAAGTTATCCTTGCTCCCTGCAAAGTATTGAGATTTAAATCAGAAAGGAAAACACTGTTTGATAAACAAATCAAAGTTTCCAAATAAAATACCAAACCAAACAGCATCTGTAAACTCTCTATGGATAAATTTTGGGGTGGAAATTAAAAAACAGTGTTTCATACTTGAAGGGATGAAGCTCTAGACTTGCCTTTCAGAAGGAGCCATAGAGCAAGAAAGTTCTCCAAATTGAGTCTGCAACATTTTGCAAGTTCTTGAAATATGGATATTCACAATAGGAGGAGACACGACTTGGTAACAAGGAATTTACTTGCAGTTCTGTTTTGTGATGGTTTCTAACTTCAGAGCCTGGTTTAGGAGGGATGTGCTGTTTTGAAACTTTGTTTTGTTTTATGGGGTTTTTTATGTTATGGAGCCTTATTCCTAAAGGAAAAGAAAGAACTGAGTTGCTTAGAAACATAGTCTTTTAATACAAATAATCTGCAAATCATGCATGCATTGAATTTTTTTAAGGTTTTAAGTGCATAAATTTTAAGTGTCTACTAAATGATGAGCATAAGGTAGATAAACGTAATGATTGTATCTGCTCAAAATCCAAATTTCATGGCAAGATGTTTGTATGTTGAAAATTGTAGATTGGTCTCATTCTATAGAAAGAAATGTGTTTGAAAAAAATGGTGTTTACCGTGATAAATGTTATTCTTCATGATATTGTTTACTGAATTCAAACAGATTTTTTTCGGATTTTGGGTTTTTTTGTAATTTCTACATTCTGGATATCTAGCATTTCCTGAAAACTGTATTATAGCAGGTAGGGTTTGTCCAAAATGTGGACAGATGAGCACCAGATTACGTTACAAAGGTTTGCTAATGGACTGAATAGAAGATAAATCTTATAATTCTATCTGATAAAATAAGCTAACAGAAAAGAAGGTGAAAGGAGAATGTCAGGAAATGATCCTATGGTCTATTTTAAACTTCAGTGTGCACTAATATAAAAAATTGTTTACTCTGTTTTTCTAAATGCATCATCTTCAGAACAGCAAAAATCAGATCAAAAAAGAAATTTTGCAAATGCAGACCCAACCATCTACTGGAAGCCATTACACTAATCCAACCATCATTCTGGAAGCATAAAACTAACATCATGGAGTTTGCTGAATATCTCTGGTTTTATGACTTAATACGCTCCATTAAATGATACAGATAAATATCTAGTTTTCATCTTTCTGAAGATTAAGTCATTTGCCTCAGTTATATAGTCAGTAATGCAGTCTCTTTGCTAGTTATGTTGCAATAAAAGTAAGTTATACTGCACTAAAATGTGAAACTGGTTGCGAGCATTACGTATGAGAGTTCATATAAATATCTGGTAACATTCACAAAGAAAAATGTTTGGTTTGGTCATTGGAAAATTTCTTTTCAAGTCATGCATTTTCAAATGTAAATGAAGAAGAAAATACATAAAAAGAAGTTATTTTGAAAAGCTGGGAAAAATACAAAACCATAAACAGATTTAGGAACTTTTGCAGTTATTTACAGCCTTGAATAAAAGTTACTTTTATAAGATTATTTTTGAAATGTCACTGCTCTTTGCTTTCCCTACTCTTGCAACCCAGGAGCTATGGATTCATGTAAATTGTTAATTGTTTGTCTGTTTAGAAATGTGCTATCATAGGCTCTTGTTTTTCTTCTGTGGTGTTGAGAACACAACTGGATACAGCAGTAATCAGCTCTATCTATTCATTTAGCCTGCCACACTTATAAAACTAAATAAATTCATTTAAACCATGCTGAAGACATAATTTATTGAACTGTGATAATTGCCTCAGGTATTTTCACTGTATTTTACCGTGAAAAGAAGGTTTTTAAATAGTTTGTTTCATGCTTTAGAAGAGCATTTCTTTCAGCACTATTTTTAACCATGTCAGTATTTTCTGATCTTTTTGGAAAAGAATGGGTAGCCTTGAGTTCTAAAGGCTGTTATAGGACATAAGAAATCTATATTCTGTATATTTTGAGGCACAAAACAAGAAATCATTTCTAAAAGAGAGTACACAATATTCAATTCTCAAATGCATATTGTAACACAAATTATTCCTGGTTGTTGAGCCATGAATGCCAATGCTGTTAACTGAAAATTGAGGAAATAAGAGACTGTAAGCTTATTGAGGAATGACCCAGATCCTTTCAGTTTCAATAAGTTTCTACATAGGAAAGCAAAGCTTTCCTTGGGTGTTGTTTATGAGAGTATCACTGCCTGTCGCAGGAATATGATGAACTTCAGATTTATCTTAGAGAGAAGAACACTTATTCTATAATGCATTACTGAAAAGATCTTTTTCGTCTAATAGGGTGTCTCTTGGTTTTAGTTTTTAATTTCATTATAAAAAAATATAGATTTGGCCAAAAAAACATGAAAGGAACACTCCTTTGTTTCTTGATCAAAAAGGCAGAGCCCGTACTGAGTCCGATTATAACTAATTTAATAAGGAAAAAAACATTCTTTGAAATGGTATTTCAAAGCCCTTTCAAGGAAAAAAAAGTTTAATAGTTTCAGAGGTGAAAGTAAATGGTAGTTCCCATTTTTAACTATATTTGATAGAAAAGAACCTGGCCAAACTTAAATCTCTGAAATCACATTTAGATAATATTCCAAACAACAAATATAGGTTTAGCTATAATTTTTCGGGTTTTGCTGTTCCACTTTTTCATTCCTTCCACTCTCCAGCAGCATTGTAGCTGAAGGGAAGAAAAGCAGGCATGTGGGAGAAAGGTGAACAACTCTTGCCCCAAACCCCTGTGACAAGAAAAAATTACACAACTATAATAACAAAGTCTATAGTTATTCTTAATAATGCAGCTTTACTAATTTCCTTCCATCCTAGCCAGCAGACAACCTGTCTCCCTTTTTTCCCATTGCTGGCAACAGAAAGATGAAGAGCAAGCCAGTGGCATTTTGTTTTTAACCTCCAGTCAGCTGTGGGACTGGGCTCCTTGAGGCGTGACACCACCTGCACAGCAGGAGGAGGTGTGACATGTGATGTTCTTTTTGTTTTGGAAGGCTGAGTACCAGTCATATGTTACTTAGAACCCCGATTCATGATGATGAATCTATTCCACCTTTAGCATGCTTTTTTTACTGTCTGTACAAAGGCTTCAGCAAAGCCTTCAGGAATCTTTTATGCAGTTGTGTGTTCAGATATAAATTCTGTTAATAGACCTAAAATAGCAAGGATTAATTATGAGACAAGGACATGATACACTGCTTGTGCAGCTCGATGTCACTATAGGACACGAAATAACAAGACATACACACACTGCTCTCAAGGCAAAAAAGGGGAAGTTTATTTTCTGACTCCAACATTTATAGATTTCCAAAAGTGACAGTGGATTGGAGGGTGACAGTGGCACCTCTCCAATGACACTGGACAAAGCAACAGTCCATCAAATTTCTCCTCCTCCATAAAATAATGCAAAACAATGAGTTATTTACAGAAAGTGTGTGAGAAAGTTCATTACAAGAATGTAAACATCAGAAGGCTTAGAAAAATCTTTAAAAGTCAGGGAGACACTCAAAATTTTGCTTTGTGTAAATCTTGATGCTCATTTTGGTTTCTCTTTCTGTCTTTGCATCTCGTCCTGACAGGTGTGTGCCCAATCACTGTGAACACGATGGTAAATGCACCCAGACGTGGGACAGCTTCAAGTGCACTTGCGACGGAACTAATTACAGTGGTGCCACGTGTCATAACTGTAAGCTACCCTGCACTTTCAAAGTTTCAAAGGAGTAGGGAAGTCTCTCATGTCTTTTGGTTGAGATTTTAAAAAAATCATTCTTCCTTTCTTGTTGTTAAAGATCCTCAAGCCTCTTTTGAAAGAAAAATATCGTCTTAATCACCTTCTGCATTCCCAGCATTATGATGCGTTTGCAGAGCACTGTACTGTGCCGTGCCACCCACCAAAGCAGCTCAACAGCAGCTGGATGTACAGAGCAAGCACAGTCTTAGCAGTTGCATATGAGATACAGCTTCTAATGGAAACTGAATCTGCCCTGAGCTGTTGGGGAGAGCTGCTGACTGCTGCTTGAGATGCTGGTTTAGGTTGCTAATCACAAAGGGTGTTTACACACTGATTATCAGCCAGCTTAAAATCTAATTATTTGCTCTGTGATTATGAGTTTTTGAAATAAGAATATTTCCTATAAACTTCACATGCTGTACACTATAAAAGCACAGAAAGAAGAAAGGTGCTGTTGCCATTTTATAGGTCCTGAACAATGCATGCTGAGCCAGTGGCATGCATCTTCTGTTCCTCCCCTCTTTTGCTAAAAAAGAGGGATTTTGATCTGCAAAAATACCTAGGATACAGAGAAAATATATCCAGTCCTTACTTTTGTTCACTTCTTCCTTTTGCCAACAATCTCCTAATATTGAGACAAGAGTAAAAATGCTTCTAAACAGGCAATCAGTTGAAATTGAAGCCAGGATTTATGGAGATACAAGTTTATATCACTTTTCTGTTTACCTTAAATACAGCTATGTATAATTTTACAAAGATAATTGCAGAAGTTTTTTTTCAGTTTTAACCAAAAACCCCAAACCAATGAGACCATTCACAGTTTTCTGGATCAACTATTAATACATTGAGTGGCAAAGTTCTCTGTGATCTGGCTATTGAAACTCTAAAACTGTAAGAGTTAAATGGCAAATTAATTTTGATTAAAGAGAAATATTTAAGGTGCCTATACGTGTAGGAGAGGTTGCATGGCACCCTTTTTTCCACCAAGAGGGAATGTGCACAGTGATGGCATGGTTGCATAGAATTTTAGGAAAGACAACACAGAACCTGTCTGTTCTCCCTTGTGGTGTGCAGACCAGCTTTTAAGACATAGCTGAACACAGATAAGCTTTCTTCTTGAGTTCCAAAGAGAAGTAGCAAGGACAAAAGAATGCCATCACTTCTGAAATCACATTTATTACAAAGAGAAGAAATTATAATCCAAGGGGATGTGACTTTTTTAATAATATTTTCACCTGCCTTTTATGGATAAAACAGTGCAAGAGGGCAAATAAAAGGCATTGCTGAACTAGAGTATCAAAAGAGGGCTTTGGAGTATATTCTCCTGTCTTTATGGAATGGATAAAGTGGATGGGATTACATACACTCTCCAGGTCATTTGGAGACACATTGTTCAGGAACTTTTACTTTCCTAGTTCAGGCAAAGTTTCTGACTTAGTGGTGTAAGCTTTAGTTTTGTTACATTTTTTGTTTTAAGAACATAATTTTTGTTTTTACCGTGTGCTGCTATACTTTAGAAGTCTTTCTTACAAAACAAGGTTGAGCAGAAAGTTATTCACTTGACAGATATCCTGTCAGAAGGTGTGGAGTCCTATGCCTTTCTAGAGTACTGAAGTTAATGGCACGAAAATGAGCAAAAATAAAAAATTCCAGCATCAAGATACAGACTGAGACAACCTTAACTCTTCCTTTATTGAGCAGGCAATAGCTGTCAGTTTTTACAGGAGCATGTTCCAGGTACAGCTGCAAATAATGAGGGGATTTGTTGGAACTTGCCAGAGGTTGCAGTCACTCTGCCCTGAGGTCTGGGACCTCAGCTCTGCTGCACTGATGCTGAGCCTACTGTCCTTCCCTACTTGTGCAGTGTGTATATTCAGACACACTTAGTGTGCTGCCTTTTGCTTTTGAATTCTAAAGTTTGTGACAGTAGCAGGATGAAAGATATGCTGGGGAAGGGAGGAAGTTGGAATGATAACTGTTGTGTGGTATAAAAATAGCTGTAAGTGATTTTAAACAGCATTGCAGATCTCATTAAAAATATGTGATTCTGTGGAGCTGGAAAGTGTTTAAGTGCAGATAGCACTTGTTCAGTACCATTTTACTTAAAGATAATATTGTTTTACAAAGCAAACTGTATTATATGCCACAGTAAAATATGTTTTTCTTTTCTCAATGGATGCTTTTGTGGGGAATATAACAGCATTTCTCAAAGAGGTTGGACACATGACTATGTTAGTGGGGATTGTAACAGTATTTGGTGATTTTTAATGAGTGTGAGTTATGCTAAACTAAAAGGAAAAAGATAATTCTGTGTTACTGAAGGGTTTTTTGCAGTGAATTGATTTTGCTTTGGTCAGGTAATTCAACACTTTCCTGAGCTCTTGACAAGGCAAAGCTTTGCAGCCTTGACCGGATTTCAGATTGCAGTTTTAGGTTCCTTTGAAGTTGAAACTCAAAGAAAAATTCGAGGGATGAACTCCTTGAAGTGAAACAGAGAAAAAGGTTTGCATTAAAACCTTATGAATCAAAATGATTTTATTTCACACAGGTCTGGCCATAAAATATCATATGATAGTGAAAACAACAGTTAGCCTAGAGATATGGAGAAATATGTATTCTGGGAATGAGACATACTGGGGACTATAGACCAGAAATAAATAGCTAGAGAAAGAAAAGTTCCAAATAAATAACTCTGGAATAAAAACTTTAGTTCTCTAACTGTGTAAATCAATTACACTTGTTTTCTATTTTAATATTATGAAATAATTTCCTTTTTGAAATATGACACTGTTACAGGAAGGTTCCTCACCTCTCAGAGAAACACCAGAATCTCCAAGCTCTGTGTCCATTATCTTGTTATTTCTCAGCAGCTTAAGCTGCCGTTCAGAGGAAATGATAATTTGTTTCATCCATCTACAGCTAGATCCCTTGAGCTCAATGGCAAATTAACCAAAAGTACTGGAAAGTTGTACTTCTCACTGCATATTAAATACCCTAGGAATCTACCAGATTTCTTTCAGCTAAGGGATATTCATGCCCAACAAAGTGCTGTGGCCTGGCAAATATCAGACTAGAGCATTGATTTTACCATTAGGCAAGACTGAAAGATAAATGAATGTATTTATTCAAAAACAATGATTTACAGTGATGCAACATTTACAAAATTATTTAAAAATTAATTGAATTATAATTAACTGCAAGTATCATCCTTGCTAACTTTATTGTATTATCTATATTTTAAGCCCTGACTAATTAACTTTTACAACCTACCAAAGGCTGGCCCACTCATGCAGAGTTCTTAAAGCTATACTTTTCTAGAGTTTATTAGTAAATGGTTCCTGAAACCTTTGCAATCAGGAGCTCATTTTCCTGATTACTTCTCATCTCCACCACTTTGCGCCTGTTTATTCATCTGGTTTTATGTTCTAATATTCTTCCTGCTGTTTACAGCTTCTTTAAAACAGAATGGTATCATTTTAAAAGTTGTCCATTGGGATAACTAATGATCACTCAAGCTTCTTTTTCTGAGATTTTTTTGTAGTATAGGTCAAAGCAAATTTTCTCTAGAATATGCATTTCAGATAAAAATAAGAAAGGATTTACATTACCATCATGGTAAAGTCTATATCTGCCTTCCACTTCTTGCATAAAATTCATTTGATTTAGGAAAAAGCCAGGATCACCTTATTTGATTATATTTTCCTTCTCCTAATGATTTTCATTAACAAAAATGTTCACTTTGCACTTAAAAGATTAATCCTAATGCTCATAGAATCATAGAATTGTTTGGGTTGGGAGAGACCATAAAGATCCTCTAGTTCCAGCACCTGTACCAAGGACAAGGCCACTTCTCACTAGGACAAGTATCTTAGAGCCCCTTCCAGGCTGGTCCTGAACACCTCCACGGATGGGACATCCTCAGTTTCTCTGGGAAAGCTGTTCCAGTACCTCACAACCCTCACAGTAAAGAATTTCTTCCTAATATCCAATCCAAGCCTACCCTCTTTCAGTTTAAAATCATTCTCTCTTTTCTTAATAGTACGTGCTCTTGTAAGAAGTCCCTCTCCAGCTCCCTTGAAGGCTCCTTTGGGGACTGGAAGTTGCTATAAGATCTCTTCACAGCATTCTCTTATGAAAGACATGTTCTTCCTGATCAAATTATTTTACTTTATTTCACCTTCAAACACAGTCCTTGCTCTTGCAGCTGTACAGATTTGTTTAAGAATACCAGACAGGAAAAGGTTTTCTTAAAAACCTTCAGTTAGTCCATAGGGGGGACTGACATCCAGATCACATCTGCTGACTGTTACTTCTGTGAGACAGTAGGAGCAACACAAACTTACCTGCTCCTGCCCCTAGAAAAGGCACTAATTGCATCAGAATATACAGAGAATGCAACTCTGCTGAGAAAGAACATATGGGATTTTTACATTTTTAGATTGGTGGTTTGCTGTAAGTTTTTCCGAAAAGAATATTGGAAACAATGTGGTGATTCTTAGTTTCCATATAAGGGAACTTGACCTCTGAATGCTCTGTCTCTCCCAGCTCATTGGGAATAAATGTTATCCTATATTTTGGAACCTGATTCAAAGTTAATGATGAATAAAACTTCTCTTGGAATAATAAGTGCATTAAATGCCACTGGAATGATATTTTTCCAAGCAAGAGTGACTACCTCCCTAAAACAAAATATTGCTTTAATAATGAGTTTAATATTTTCTAGAAACACACTTTGAGTAAGAATGAGTAAGAAAATTGTAGAAGCTGTGATAATTCTCATTGCTGGCTATTGCCAAAAGCAATAGTCATCAACACAAATTTAATCTGCATAGGCTCTGATCTTCAGCAAGACTTCCATCAGATAGTTTGTAATATCTGGTTTTCCTGTATTTCTGTAAACAGGAAAGCAACCAGAACACTGGGCTTTATACATTCAGAGTCTAGATAGGAAAGAA